TGCGCCATCAGAGCACGGAGCACCCCCCGCCCCCTGCGCCATCAGAGCAAGAGCTGCTTCCTCGTCCTTCACTTTCACTGTCACACGTGGCTCTGGTGACCATGCCCAAGGCTTTTCCATTGAAAACCCCCGCAACTGTGCCAGTCCTCTGGTTCTGGCACCCGCACCCCCGTCATCACTCAAACTCCCAAAAGAGTAACAGGCTGTGTCCACCTCCTCCTCCAGGTACCCACACGGTCCTCCTCACACGCTCCTCATCTACCCCGTGAGCAGGGCTCTGCCTCCACCTCTGACCTCACCCTAGAGGACCTCAGCCAGCAAGTCCAGCGATGCCGCTGTCCCGATCTCCCTCCACTCCCCCCGCCCCCCACCGTCCATAAGCACACACATTCTCCTTGAAATTCTACCCCCCGGTGGTTCTTGGAGACAGGGAAAGTTTCTGGCTCTGCCTCTATCTTCCTTGATTTCTCTTTTTTTCTAGGAGGTTCAGCAAGGACCCTAGACCCTGACAGTCCCCTACGTTTGCAAATGCTGCAATATGTGTATAGGCTCCGAACTGTCTCCTAAATCATGATTCAAGCAGGAGTCTCTTTCCTACAGACGAATGAATGTCACCCGTTAAGCTCTTCAATAACTTTTGCTAAAGTTTAACTCTCACTTGATGATCATTTTCCACAAAGAAAGCAAAGAAAAATTTAAATAGCTTAAAAAGAATTATTGCCCCTATAATGACAAGTAAGAAAAAAATCAGGATGCTGAGTAATTTGCTCAACTCATTCACAAGCCAGGTGATTCCTCCCACGGCAGCCAACGCCAAGTCAAGTCTCAATAAATTTTAAAATGACTACAAGTCACTAACCTTCTGCGATTCTTAAGAAACATCAGTGTCACAGTCTGTCAGGTCCCTCAAATGAATACACCCAAATATTAATGAGCCACCACCCTCCTTCCAAACCGCCTCCTGTGGTTTTCAGTCTTGTCAGTAATGTGACTGCCACTCTCCTAGGTACCGAGTTCTAACTTTAGGAATGATGTTCTACTCTTCCCTCTAGCCTGCCACTAAGCCACAGGCTTCTTGAGGCGCGACCATGAGCTATACCCACCCAGTCATACTGTCCACGCAGCCATGACACGCCCCTGTATACACACGACAGTGCTGAGCAGAGCTGTGACCTGGGGAACGTCCTACCTGTGGTGTAGGGGAGCCCCTCTCAGCCCCGTCTGGTCCAGTTCAGCTCTCAAGGCTTCCAGGGTTAGTACGAGCTGATCCTACAAAACAGCAAATGACATAACACGTGTTGCTTTCAGGATACAAAATGACTTGCATCAAAATGTGCTCAAACGCTGAACAAAACCATAACAGGTTACATTAGCAGTTATAAATTCCAAACATTTTAATTCTGAGAAAATTTTCTCCAAGAGTCCTATAGCAAACATAAACGCTCAGACCAGTATTAACTTTATAAACCTTAGTGAACAAAAAGTTACATCCTGGTCATAGAAAAGCTCTCAGAAGAGAAACACCAAGCCAGTAACAATAATGAATTCTGAGACAAGCTGTACTTGGGGCAGGGGTGGGGGACACACACGCAGGATTCACTCTCCATCGCACTCGCTCCTCTGCATTGCTTTCAGCTGTCTACACCAAGCACACATCCACTCATGTCCCATCTCTACTCCCAACGTCACTTCCTCACAGGGCAAAGCGACAAGGCAGACTGCCAGAGTTTCTGAGTCAATGGACAGCCTTCCTGCTCTGCGCTGTGGGCCACAGCTGCCACTCACCTCACGTGGCTACTGAGCGCCTGAGACGGGCCACCCCAAAGCGCCAAGTGCTGTGACCAGAAACCACACCGCAGGTTTCAAAGACTCAGGTGGAGAGAAGAACGTAAAGTAGCTCATTCGTTTTTAGAGCAATTATACGACAAGATAACATTCTGACTACATAGGGGAGAATACAATAAAATTAACTTCACCTGTTTCTTTTGACTCTTTTAAATGTGGCTACAAGGAAATTTTAGATTACACATGTGGCTCTTATTATCTTTCTGATGGACGGCACTGTTCCAGATGAAAGGCTCCTGCTCTGTTTCAGCTTTTTCAAATGAACCCAGAAAGGACTCAGAATTCTCAACCACACACACCTGCTGGACTCTAAATCCATCTAAAATGCAAAAGCGTTCAACGTACAAATCCAGGAGCGCTATGTATGTTATAGCAGTGGACTAGCCATAAAGAAAATGGAACTCAACTTTTGCTACCCAGCTGTAATAATTATAATAACAAAGAACCCAGCTCAATTCAGCTCTTAACAGATTTCTAAACCATCTAGAGACTGAAGCACCTTATCATGTTGCATTTCTTCTAATTGCTTTTTTGCATTTTCAACTTCTCGTAGGAGGGAATTCTGAAAAAGATATAAATAGCCTTTTAGTGTTAATTCTTAAACATGTTCCACGTACTATAGGACGGCTACAGTTGTTTGAAACAGTAAAGCACCGCGGGAAGGAATGGGCCCCGTGAACATACTAATGGGCAGATCACGCTCCCCGAGTAAAATGCCAGCCACGAGGCCAGATGACACCTTTTAATAATAACTTGTACATATCAAATTTCCTTCTTCAGCGGCTGATTTTCTAGATGTAAGGAGGTCAAGTTCATGGGGTAAGTTAAACTGGTTTATACCGGCTTTCAGCTTTTGCAGTTCAGCGGTCACTCGGGAAACCGGCACAAGTTTCACATGCAAAATTCAAATCTGAGACAAAAATATTCCTACCTTAAGGCCGGCCCGCAGATCAGGGAGGAAGTGAGGTAACTGCCCTATGTGGTCTCTAGTAATGCATTTCATCATGGGTTTTGTGTAAAATAAAATGTGCCACAGAATTAGTAGCAATCACTGGTCTCTCCCAAACGAGCATCATCCCAGGTGCCAATCTCAGGGAAGATTCTTGGGCCTCATCTTTAGGGCACTGGTGCAGTCGGGACAGGTTTTTTATCAAACCTGAACCAAAGTGTCGCCCATCAGAGCTTCTCTGACATAGATTCTCGGCTACTCCTTTACTCTGGTTACAGCTAAAGTAGTTCCATGATGAGAGTAGCAAGAGTCCAGGCTTAGACATTTTCCAAACCAAATGAAAAGAGAGAAGGCTGGAGTTGGAACATGAGAACGCTTGTTTTTAGACGGTTAAATCTTTTATATTACGTCACACACACGAGACAGAAATAAACCTCTAACGCAAGAGCAGTGAGGGGGTGAGGGCGGACCTAGAGGATTCTGGCGCAGGGGCTGATAAACTCGGCCTGCCAGCCAGGTCCGGCTCACTGCCGGCTCCCGTGCGTTTCAGGGGCGCACAACCACGTCCACTCCTTTGCGGACGCCCGCGGCTGCTTTCAGGCCACTTAAATGATCAGCATGGACTTCCTCTACTCGATTACTCACGACTGGCAAACGCCTAAGGTATTTACTACGCGGCTGGCCCGCTATGGAAACAGTTCTCCAACGCTTGCTCTGGAGAGTAAGAACGACAGGCAATTTCCCATACGCACAGCCTGGGCAAGGACATAACCCCCGGCGCCCCTTTTGCAAAGGGGCCTTCAGGGACGTTGCGCTAGCGCACCTTATCTTCCAGAGCTGCCATTCTCTCTTTAAGATGAAGCTGAAGCCTCTCGTTAGATTCTGAAAGAAGCCTGTCCACAGTGTCTGATAAACGTTTATTGTGTTCTTCATTCATTTTTTCTCTCTGCCTTGCCTGAAAGAGGAAAAACAGAAGCGTACACAATTCAAGAACAAGTATGGTCATTATTCTAAAAGCGCCAAAAGGAGCGACGACGTGACTGGCCTATGCCCTGGCTCCCCAGGCTGCCCCTCCCACTGCCATCGCCAGTGGACTCTGCACCGTCACCAGAACCCACTGGATCACCAGAGCTGACTGCAGGTGCAGAGAAAGGTCCCTCCCACTGCTTCTGTTCAACAAAGCACCCAGGGGGCCTCATTAGTGTCACCAGCCATTAACTGTCTGATGGACTCAAGGAGCAGATTTACACGCAGAAAACAAGCATATTTTAAAGGGGATCAGCTTACACACACACTGGAGGGGGAACTTCCCAGCATGTAAACAGAAGCTTGAATCTGGATTAAGGGGGTAAAATGAATTTAACTTATAAAGCAAAAGGTAAAAAATTTCATTTTGGGGAAAAAAACAGTGGAGACAGACTTTCACATGTTTTTCTTTATACTCTTAACATCACCTGAATTCTTTGTAATGATAATTTATACTAAAAAACCAGAAATAAGTACCACAAGTAATTTTTAAATGTAATAAAATTGGTAAGTCTGTGTTCTATAAAACTAGCATCAACTTCATGGTTTCAAACGCTTATTTTCACCCCACACCCTGAATGAACACAGAAGAAAAGTGGAGGGGACAGACAGTGCTGACAGGCGGCACACGTCAGGGCAGGTCCCCTCGGCGGGTCTCCCTTTTCTCCTAGGTTGTTGGAAGCACTAAGTACAAAGCGCTCAGAATCACACCCAAAACACAGCAACCACCATCATCTAGAAGAGACCCAGCTCACCGTATGATAAGGCTGTCAGCATTCAAATTTTAAAAAATCATAAATTTATTTATTTATTTTTGGCTGTGTTGGGTCTTTGTTGCTGCACGTGGGCTTTCTCTAGCTACGGCGAGCGGGGGCTACCCTTGGTTGCGGTGCGCGGGCTTCTCACTGCGGTGGCTCCTCTTGCTGCGGAGCGCAGGCTTCAGTAGTTGTGGCACGTGGGCTCAGTAGTTGTGGCTTGCGGGCTCTAGAGCACAGGCTCAGTAGTTATAGCACAAGGGCTTAGCTGCTCTGCGGCATGTGGGATCTTCCCGTACCAGGGCTCGAACCCATGTCCCCTGCACTGGCAGGTGGGTTCTTAACCACTGCGCCACCAGGGAAGTCCCTCAAATATTTTTAAAGCAAAACCACTTAAAAGTTTGCTTTGAATTGCCTTAGTCATAAACTGCATCCCTACTGCGACGAGCTCTGGAAGTAATGAAGTGCACCCCTCAAGCAGTGAGAGTCGAATTCTCTGCCTAAGAGGGGAGGGAGCGTGCCTGTGCCGGGGGCAGGGGCGCCTGGCATGCGGATCTGTTGATGGGAGGCAGACGCTTTCCTTCCTGGAAGCTCACGTTTGATGCTCTGCAGTCCAGGCCCGGGAACGCCGCTTTCTGGTGGTGACAATACTGATGTCGCACGCCTGGACCTGGGGCCACCACTCGCTCTATTTCCTGGAGGTTCCATCTCGCCGTGTGACCAAATCTTCCAGGAGAGCTCTCTCAGGACTCAGCTGATGTGAGCCTCCACCACCACGCTTTCCCGATGCTCCTTTTTATCCCATCTCCGAGCACAGGAGTTTTCCTCCTGCTCAGGAACGGCCAGCCCTACGTCTACCTTTGTGTCTGGAACAATACTTTGGGGTTCAGGACAGAGATCAGGCCCGTGACCAGAATCGGGGACTCCAGTGCCTCACCCCAGGCAAGCAGACCCAACGCCTAGGACGCTGTGCCTTAAGTGTCATGGGTGCCCCGGGCTGGCAGCTCAGGCTTGTTTGAGGGGGGCCCGTAAGGTCCCACCTGTACCTGGAGCAGCTCCCGCGCGGCAGGCGGCCTCCTCCCCCTACACACCGCCCGCGGGCAAGCACGTGGTGGGTGCGCCAATCAGCAGACAGCGCGCAGATGAGGCCGCACACGGCGGTGCGGGGCCCAGGCCCGGCCCGGCGCTTGGCCTCTCTGCCCGGACACGTACCCGCTGCAGCTCCTGGTGCTTCTCCTCCAGCTGTGCTTCCATGTGGCGCAGCCTCTCCTCGATGCTGCCGTGCCTCTCTTCGGCCTGCCGGCAGAGAATGCCGTCAGCTCAGCTCACAGCTGCCCTTTCCTGACAACACGCGGGGTATGACTGCAGCAGCAGCAGCAAGCAGGACGTGCTGGGCGTGGACTACGCGCCCCGTGCTCAGTGGAAGGCACGCGCCGACGTCTGCTCGCACGTCCTGCGTGGCCCCATGCGTGACCCCGGGAGGCAATTCACCCTCTCGGGCAGGTGACTGAGGTGTGACTGGCGCTGGCGATCGACTGGTGAGAGAAGATGTGCTCCCCCCACCCCAGGTCCCACACCCGCGGGCTGTGTTTTCGCCCCAGCCTCAGGCTGCTCTGGGCGAGCCAGCGTGGGAAGCAGGAAGCGGCGAGCGCAAGAGCAATGTGCACATTCTACCTTCCTAAGCTGGGAAGGAAGTTCGAACAGTTTAGCTTCCTTAGTGGCAGAGTTTCCAGAAGACAACAGGTCAGACTACAAGGCCGACCAGGGACGGGAGAGATGAGACAGGGGAGAAAAGAAACCGAGACTTTAAATGCAGATCACGAAGGAAAAGGAGCGCTTCTGTTACAGCTGCTAGCAATGAACTTGCTCTAAGGAAGGTCTGCGAGCACCTGACGCCATCTGCCCACCCCGGGTCTGTCCGGCCCCCTCAGCAGCTCACTAAGCCCCAGGCAGGCAACACAAAACTCCTGACGGATGCACCAGCACAGGCCAGGGCCCGCTCCTCTGGGCCTGGCCAGCGCCTACTGGCAGTGCAGGACCATGTGCCTTAAAGACTGGGCCGGCGGCTGGTTGTGTGGACGAGCCGCCTCCAGCGCCGCTGCATCACCGGGACACCCCCTCTCACCTGCCGGCTCTCCAGGGACGGGGAGGCTGTGAGGGCAGGGACCGGGCCTGGCACATGCCCCACCAGGATTTGTTGAACCAGTGAATGAATAAAGACTCAAAACCTTGTTTACTACAAAGTCACTTTGGCGGTCTTCGAAAGAGATTGGGATTTTCCTACTTCTGAGAAAAACTACCCTGCCCTTCCACAAAGCTTCTACCCTAACCTTGGAGCTGCTGGCTTAAGTAGCTCCAAGCAGCAGTGGCTCTGAGCTGAAGCACCCTGGGGACACACAGAACACATCTGACAAAACCGGAGGGAAAAGAATGTGGGGATGACACAAAAGCAGGGATAATGTCTGACATTCAAACTTGCTCCAGTCTCAGACAGTACAGCACTGAAAAGAAGTCTGAGATGCTTGGTGGATTTAGGTGCGCTGACAAGACCACAACGATATGGCACGTGAACAAATCACCCTCAAGACCCAACTCTGGCGTCTGCCCGGCAAGGAGACCCAGGGCAGCACCTTGGAGAGCGCGGCCACCCGCTGGGCCAGCTCCGCCTCCACCTCGGGGAGGGTCTCCGCTCTGCGCAGGGTCTGCTGCAGCTTCTGCTCTGCCAGCTCCAGGCGCTCTTGCAACTGGCGGTTTTTATCCTCAGTCTACAAAATGAGAGCAAAGCGTCAAAACGGGGCAAATGGTTCAGCCATCTCCATTTTCAACAGTCTACTAAATTAGTTCTGACGGAAGCACAGCTGTTTTGGCAGCTGCTTCACAGTGAATTGTTTCTTTCTGTGAAGAGCACACACCCAGTTTCTTGGGCTTGATTTCAACGTGCAAAACACCTCTTGCCAAAGTATCTGCTCTTCCTAAATACCTCCAAAGAAGTCTTAAACACACACACACACACACACACACACACACACACACACACAAGTTCCTATACATTAAAGCAAACCCGTTTTCTGTAGGAGCTTATTTATTCCTATTGACAAATTAAGGAAAGAAGGGTGCAGTACTAACCCTTCTTAAAACATCATCAGAATCATCATTTGAAGGGAACCCTACTGACAACAGGCTGCCATGGGCATGTAAGCCAAAATACAGCTTTCATCTCCTTTGAAGTCCAGACCTGCTAAGAGTGTGCCTAAGGGAATACTGGTCTAGTTTTAGCTTTGTAAACGTAGGGTCATTCTTTTAGAAAATCCTCTTACTCTGAAAAATTTTCAACGTAGAAAATTTAGACAGATTTTTCTTTCTTTAAAAAAGGGAAAATGTTAAATCATCTATAAGCTCAGTTCCTGAGAGGTTAACACTTGTTTCTGTGCAGCTTTCTTCTTTTTTCTGTGTGCATATATCTCTATGTACATATACAAACAACAGATTGTGCTTCAAAACCCTCAGAAAATAACAGCGCATGGTACGTAGCATTTTCTGATCTGCCTGTTAAAGTCATTATTTTGAACATTTTAATGCTCTTAATTAGCATTCCACACCGTAAGTTTTAATGGCTTTCTAGTATTTCATTTCTATTTGGGGGCCAATGATACACTTTATAACACACCAGACAAACTCACTTTGTTTTTCAGAAGCCAGGTTTGGTCTCCCTGGTTAACTCTTGGTTACGAGACCACACAGAAAGAGAGGAGCAAGTGAAGCGAACCGGGCCACAGGAGGCACAGACCTTACTACGCAGACTGCGTGTCTCAGTCTGCCACTTACCACTGACCCCAGTTACCAACAGGCAGCTGGCTGCCTTCAAGTTCTTTGCTACTCTCTGCTCTTTTGGTAAAAATGCTAACAAGCAACAGAAGAGTCAGGAGTGCAGCTCCACAAAATGGTTGAAACAAATCCTAAAAACTGAAAACCTGTAAGCTGCAGTCACCCACAATTTTTTAAAAAATTTATTTTATTCTAGTACAGTTGATCTACAATGTACACCACACTTCTGAACACAATATTCTAAGATCATAAAAACTTTACCCTGGGACTTGATTTCCAACATGGAAGTCACAGGAAAAGGTCTTCCCCCTTCATTAGTAAGTAAGTAATAAAAGCCAGACAAAATTCGATAAAAACCACTACCTGTCGATGCATAGACTCCTTATTTGCAATTTCATTTTCCAGTTTATCGTTGAGGTCGTGCACAGAGGTGGCTTCACGCTGTGCTGCGAGGTAGCGTTTCTCGAGAGTCGTGACTCTCTCTTCCATGTCTTCCTTCTGGGCCATGGCCTATGTCACGCATTTTCAGAGGGAGAGAAGGGAAGTAACCAGTACGTAACAGACGGGTGCGCTCAAGAGAGAGAACAAACTGGGCTCAGTCCTAAGTTTCAAATCAAATATAAAATTACTGTCCTCAAAATTAAATTGACAGACACGCCAGTTTTCTCCGATGTGAATGAAAATGCACCCACCTCAAAGATCATAAATATTCACCAAGTAATTAGCACTCACCTGTCTTTTTAATTTATTTTTTAAATATTTATTTATTTTGACTGCACTGGGTTTAAGTTGCAAAACGCAGGATCTCTGTTGCAGCATGTGAACTCTTAGTTGTGGCGTGTGGGATCTAGTTCCCCGACCAGGGATCGAACCCGGGCCCCCTGCATTGGGAGCACGGAGTCTTACCCACTGGCCCACCAGGGAAATCCCAGCACTCATCTGTCTTAATGCTATGTCTGGCCACTTAGTTTACCAAGTTTATCCTTTCCCCTGCATTGAGCACGGAGTCTTACCCACTGGCCCACCAGGGAAATCCCAGCACTCATCTGTCTTAATGCTATGTCTGGCCACTTAGTTTACCAAGTTTATCCTTTTCTACATAATATTACCAAAAGAAAGAGAGAAAGTATAATAAAATATCCTGTTATTGCAAGAATTCCAGGAGGGGGAAGGTATCTGCCATGAAGACAGGACCTCTGTTTGCCTCACGGTACAGGTGGAGATACAACAGTGAGATATGTGTCTCATTTTCTTGGGTAAAAGTTGGATGAAATCTCATCCAATTACCACAGAATTAAAGTAATAATATTAACAAATGGAAACAGAACTCAAAGTTTAATACAACTGGGGACTTCCCTGGTGGCCCAGTGGTTAGGAATATGCCCGCCAGTGCAGGGGACGTGGGTTTGATCCCTGGTCCGGGAAGATCCCACGTGTCGTGGAGCAACTAAGCCCACGCGCCACAACTACCGAGCCTGCGAGCCACAACGACTGAGCCCGCGCTCCACAACTACGGAGCCTGCGCTCTAGAGCCTGCAAGCCACAGTGCCACAACCACTGAGCCTGCGCTCTAGAGCCTGCGAGCCACAACTACTGAGCCCGTGCGCCACAACTACTGAAGCCCGCGCGCCGAGAGCCCGTGCTCCGCAACGAGAAGCCACTGCAATGAGAAGCCCATGCACCACAACAGGAGTAGCCCCCGCTTGCCGCAACTAGAGAAAGCCCGCGTGCAGCAACGAAGACCCGACACAGCCAAAAATAAATAAAATTGAAAACAAACAAAAAAAGTTTAATACAACTGGAAGCAGCCCTCTAAAGCCTAATTCTTCTAAAGCAAAATTATATTACACGGTATCAAACGCTGAAACTGGGACCTGAACTTTCTGCTACTGCAATTCCTGTCCCCCAGCTAGAAATCCGCTTCAGGTCCCTCCCTGTTCACTAAGTAACCAATATTAGCAAAGTCTTAATATTAAAAGTGGCAAGTCTTAAAATTTTTTTCAAAATTCTCTGCATATTAAACTCTGCCACCTCACCTCCTCCTGTTGCCAAAGAATAACGTGGATATAGGTCATATAAATACGTGCACATATTTGTTTTGAGTTCTTACATAAAATCACTGACACCAAAAGCTACTAAACAGAATGCACACCGGTTCTATGTACACGTGGAAGGCGTTCTCTCTGCGGTGGCCTCACAAGGTGGGGGGACGGGGTAGGAGCTGTCTGTTTACAACGGAGAGGTTACGCCAACAGGAGGAGGTGCCAGGGAAGGCACCCAGCGCTCATTTGTTTTTACAGTGACAGCTAGCTAGTTTCTCATAAATCATGATACATGCAGAAACGTCTGAGAAATGCACACATTGCTACGTATTTTTACAGCATGAGCCTGATGACCCAAGTGTGAACCAATGCCACTCTGTCTGACCACCAACATCAATATCGTACATTCCCCTCAAGGAGCGGAACATCAGAAAACTAGAAACACAGCCGACAGTGCCGCCCTGGCAGAGCCCACAGCCCATGCTCACGTCTCCCCGAGAGAACTACCACCGCGGAGGCCACCACACTCGCTCGAAGTGTATCAAAAGGAAATCTGAGCACAATCAGGAACACATTTGACGGCCTAGGACTTAGAGAAATGAGGAGTCCACACCCAGGGCAGTACAGTCACAGCAGCACAGCAGGAAGGGCCGGCTTCATGTCCGTTCCGCTGCCAACGGACCAGCTGCACCAGGCCTCCCCTACACCTTTAAAGACCTTGACACAGAAACGGGGAAGCAGCCAGTCAAAGTCTCAGGGCACTGTTCTGTTTTGCTCTTACTCATACAGTCACCCCAAGGTTGAAGTAACTGCGAGAATAAGTGACAGTCAAACCAGAAGAGTCCACACATTCAACCCCATGACAACACTGACACGGCGACTGTCACTCACTTCACGGACATCCCGTTGCAACTTTGTGTTCACTTCCTCAGATCTGATGAGGTCTTTTCTGGCCGTGTCCAGATCTTCCTCCAGCTCTGTCACGTGACTAGACAGGGCGGCCAGGCGCTCCTTCATCTGGCTCTGCTCTCTTGACTGCTTGTCTATGATTTCCTGGAGCTCAATCACTTTAGCCAGGTCTTCCTCGTGGCTTAGAGAACCATCAGAAGATCTCTAATGGGGGAAAGAACCCTTAAACAGCCCTGTTTGCTGAGGGAGGAAATAAACCACTTCTGGGAAATCGGTAAAGGTCAAAGCTGGCTTCTGCACGCTGTGGGCTCACATGACTCTCGGCCGCTTGGGCCGAAGTGGTGCGTTGGCGACAGGTTACCAACACGCGTGCACAGACTGGACAGGTGGGACGAGAACCACACAGAGGGAACCAGGGACTTGCCTTTCCGTTCGCGCTCGGCGTGTTCTCTTGCTCGTGGTTTATGTCAAGCACCCCGTCCGTTAGTGTCTTTTTCTGGTTATTCTGTTCTTTAAGAATCATTAGCTAAAACCAAAAAATTGAATGAGAGTAAAGAAATAAGTAAAGGCAGCAAAACTCCATTTGGAAAAACAAAACTGAAAAGAAAATACATGGTGGTGTTGTCCATCCTGAATATAACCAGGTCATTAAAGTCAGAATTTACCTTCTACTGGAGACGTGGGTACTTAAGAGATTCTGCAACTCTGAAATAAAAGTCTAGTTTACTAATCATTAAAATGACCCAGATGGGCTGGTTCTCAATCAGAAAGATAAATAACGTCTGATATCTACTACTACTACAGTCTTCATACTTTTTAAAATTTATTTATTTATTTTTTGCGGTACGCGGGCCTCTCACCGCTGTGGCCTCTCCCGCTGCGGAGTACAGGCTCCGGACGCGCAGGCTCAGCGGCCACGGCTCACGGGCCCAGCCGCTCCGCGGCATGTGGGATCTTCCCAG